CTTGTAAGTTCCCATTTTTTTCCCCATCATGGACCCATCACACTTTGGGGTTATGCTGTATAAAATCCCTAGAAAAGACAAGGTCCTTGGCAAGCCACTCGGGATCCCTTCTGTCTCTCTCTCTCTCTCTCAGACAAAAGCTTTGTTTTTCTCAATGAATGTATTTTACTTTTAATCTCTGTTGTTTCTAAAATTCATTCTTGAAGTTTAGAGAACACAAACTTGTATGAGACATCTGGTAGGTCGAGTGTTTCTTCCTCCTGTATCCATAACATGCTCCTTTGAGTCGCTATTTCCAACATACTTAAGTTTCTCAATATCTACCAAACTGTAGTTTCTGAGGTGCTCTTTACTTTGAGTCCTGTCTCAGAAGGCAGTGGCAATGTACAGTTTTCATGCCCTCACAAATGTCACTCAACACTCAAGCAAAGCTGCCTTTTTTGTAAGATTTGCAGTAATAATTGATGTCGAGGTCAGGCAGCTGTTCTCATGAATATCTTCCTTGGATACGTTCAGCAAGTGTCTAATATCTCTCTCAAATTCAACATGGACCTGGAACATTGTGATCTCATCTATTAATTAAAGGCACACAGAGCTTGGGACCTGCTGCTCTGAGGAATTCCAGACCATCAAGGGCTCTTATGAATAGCTAGCCCACGCAGCAATACTGGCCAAACTTTCCATTCCTAGGGTGCATATTCATCTGATTTTGACTCATTTAAGGAGGACAGAATGCACTAAATTATAGATTTTTCTCTCTCTCCTTTTCATAATATTTCATGTTCATCACAATTGTGTAAGCACAGGAGGCAGAGCACAAACAATGCAAGATATGTTAATTCCACTGTGGGAAGCAGAGATTAATGTGGTGTTCCTAATGTCGTATCTTTTGTTTTGGATCAAGCTGAGATGTTTCTACCTTTTTTCCTGCACTCTTGTTTCAAAGACTCTCAAACTTTTGTTTCCCAAACTTAGGCTCAGAATTTTCATTGCCAGTTCAACATCTGCTATCAGATTTTATGTTTCTTCAAACTGAACATAGCCGAAGTCAGTGTCATCAACTTTTTCCAGAGTCTTAAAAGTCCATCCTTCTCCTAATCACTGCATTTATTCAGTGCCTAAGACTCTCCCTCCCTCAGAGTCATCCTTATCTCTTTTTGTTCCCCTCATGTTCAAAGAGTTTCTCACTTGTGCTTCTGAAATGCCTCTGATTTTTCTCACTTAAAACTTCCCAAGCATTCAATCCTTTGCGCATATTGAAATCCTCCACCAGCATGCTCACTGGATGGGGAGACTTACAAAGACAAGGCCTGCTGTTTTCTTGTTCTTGGCTGGATTTCTAACATAGAAAGCTATATCTTGGACACCCAAAATTGTTTCTTTAATGTCTTGCACACTGTACAAATTTCCCTTTCACGCTGTGGCATGCAGAAGACCTTCCCAGCCCAGTGTTCATGATTTAACTCTGTTCTGCTGCTTAAAGTTCTTCAAGATCCAAGTCTCAGGATGAATAAAAATGCTAAACTAATTGCCGGAACAAGCAATTGGTAACCTGAATTTTTCTTTTTCTTTCATTTATTGCCACAAAAGGCAAGAAATTTCATACTCCATTGCTCAGACATGGCAGAAAAGAAAAAAAGAATGAACATTGTGATGTCATTTGGACTGCTTCACAGAGATGATTCAGTTTTAATTTGGAACTAATCCAGGAGTGGTAAAAGTGCCAACTCTTTTTTCATGGCTTCGAAATAGCAGAAGTGCTAGGATATTGAATGATTTAATGGCTCAAACTTAGCATTTAATCAGAAGAAACCATGGCCAATATTGAGGTTTGCATATTTACAGACAGTAGGCTCAACACATGTATTTATTAAGTTATTTCGGAGTGCCTCTTTCCCTTTTTCTGGAAACAGAGGCCAAGTAAAGGGAGCTGCGGGGAGGAAGATGCTTAGGCACAGGTGCTGATTAATTAGTCGTGCTTTTGATGAGCTAGAAACAGAAACTGAAAATGGGGCAATTTTCTGTGAAGAGCTGGCTTCACAAATGTGCAGAGAAAACAGGTAGCTATTTACTGTGTGGTCAGAAGTGTCAGGAAGGACTCTGTCCACTAAGTGTCAACTAACTAATACATGAACTTTGAAATTCACAACACACCACTTTCTTATAAGAATAAGAAAGTTTCCTTTCTTATTCAAGTGCACTAACAACACATTGTGCCTTTAAAGTCATTTATACCTTCAGGGTGATTGCATTTCCAGGCTTTTTGTTGGAGATGAGCACCCTGAGGAGCACCTTAGGGAGACGGGATACCCCAGTTGGCATCATGGTGAAGTGCAAGACAAGTTCAAAGAGCTACTGACTTTCCACTCATTGATTCAATAAGTAACGAAATGCAGGGTGGTGTTTTTGAGCAATGTTTCTGCATAGACCAGATGTAAATTACTATACTTCATATAAGTATTTCTTACAGTAAAACCCAAGAGCTGTGGAATTTGGAAAGAATGAAGAGCTATATCTGAACCAGGACCCTAGGATAAGTATTCTATTCAATCTGCTTCCCACTGGACACACACCAAAGTTTTCTTTTCAACCAGCAACTAGCAGGGCTCAACCTTGCCTTTTATTTTAATTGACAAAATTGTATATGTATTTATTTAAGAGGGACAAAGTAGAGTTATAATTTTTAATATAATATGGAGTGATTAAATCAAGTTAGTTGACATCCATCACCTCAAATATTTAATTTATTTGAAATTTACTCAATGAAATTCAAACACACTATTCCCACAGGCTCTAATCACTATATTTCTACTCTCTGCTTCTGCAAGTTCAGTTGTTTTAAATTTCACATAAATGGTTGTATCAGCATTTATCTTTTTGTTTGGGCTATTAAAATTGCTTTTAGGGTCCATAGTGTTTGTGTAAGTATGTGTGTGCAAGACAGTGATCATTTCTTCACACATCCATTCACCATACATTTGTACCACAAGTGCTAAGTGTCAATAGGTGCTTAGACATGAGATTTCATTGCTTTCTAAGACTCTTCTGTTCAACTTTTAAACCATCTGTAACCCAGGTGTTATGGATTAAAAACTGGTGGTCAGTTTAATGCCAGCTGGATTATATCAGCATGGTGCTGAGCATAGATATACCACGTTGAGGAAAGTTGCCAGCATATATGGAGATGTGGAGAAGGAGAACACAGGCATTGAGGAATTGAGGCACTGTGGCATTGTGGCATTGTGGGTTCTCCTGCGTGTTGCTGTTTGAGCTGTTGGTTCTCCTGGAGAAGCTCTGGTCCTCACATTGAGCCTTGTTTCCTGGCTCTGGAGGGGAACATGTGTGCTGCTTGCTCCCCAGTATGAACTTCTCACTCTAGTTTCCTGGCATGTGCTCAACTGTGCTTATTGTCGAAGGAGCTCGAGGCCTCCATATTCCTGAGGATGGCTGTGGTGCTTTTCAGGACAGCCCTGGTCTTTGTTGTGAGTGTGCCTTCTCGGATCCAGTGTAGAACCCTCAACCTACCAGCACAGCTCCTTCACCCCACTGGCATAGGCTTTCTGGCTTCCACCACTTACTTTGGGCCTTCCTAGGACGGATCCGTAAAAGAAACTGGTGTGAGTCCTTCTTGTGGGCTCTAGACCTCCAGTTGGACTCGTGGGAGGCATTGTCATGAGCTCTGGGTTTTCATCGGGACTTATGTGGGACATTGCTGTGGGACTCAGGGCTTTAGCTAAATATTCTATATCTTTGGTGTTGCAGATAGATTTCCTGTGTTTTCTTGTGTTACCTCTGGGTGACCACCATAAAACAATATTATGAACTCCATGTCCTGATTCTAATTGTTCTCATCACTGAACAGTACTCTAAAAATGTGTGTGTGTGGTATTGTGAGAATGAAAAAAAATACAGTCAGACAATCAGATCAGCCAGGGTTTTATCACATCACTAAAGAAGTAATCAGATTATTTAGAAACTTCTATGTTACAGATTTTGGATTTTCTCCCCCATGATCAAAGAATACTAATGAAAAGATTTTAAGCAGGAGAATAAGACAGTATTTGGTTTTTACAAAGAACAATTTGGTCGCTGAGCAAAGTCTGAACTGGAAAAGCAAGAGGGGCTTGTTATGGTCTAATTAGGTGGCTACTGAGGATTTCAGGCAGTGATGATGTTAATGGTTCTAGCAGCTTTGGGAAGAGGTGGGTTGATGTGTGAGGCAGCTGGAATTGTGGGCTCCAGACTGGAGCTTGCCTGGAGGCAGCAGTAATGACAAGAGGGAGGGAAGGCCCGCCTCTTGGTTTTTGTAAGTGGGTGAGTGGACCACCTCCCTTTCTACAGAAGGAGGACAAAGCAGGGCTTGAGAGCAGTTCCCATGTACATCTTTCTTTCTCTTTGGATAAGAAAGTATATGTGATGCATAAAGAATATACTTCTCATGGGCTATGGTATGTAATAACACATACATATCATATCTTGATCTTTGTGCTTCCCCCTCCCCACATCGTCCATCTCCTCCATCTGCACCTCCACCTCCTGTCTCCTCCCCCTCTACAGCCTCTTCCCATATCTACAGCATCTATCTCCCTGCTTTTTATCATCTTGCTTTTATCTTACTCTTTAAATTATTTGAACTTTTAAATTATTTATACTTTTGCACATATTACTTAACTTTCTGTGTCAGATTTATATCACTTAGTATTTGGGTCTCAGGTTGCATCCATGTTCCTACAAATGACTCGAGTTTATCCTTCCTTACGGCTGAGCACATCTATCCAGGCATGGAGTCTGAGGCACCAATGGGGCAAATAAACAGCAAATCTGAACGGACCTCCCTCGGCATGAGGGAGCCACCAAGCCACTGAGGGAAGCAGGTCATTCTATTGATTGTTTCTTCTTAGACCTTTTAGAGGCCCATTGTCTCTGTTTGTGGTTAGAACCCATTTGAATGTACTCCCTTAATTTAGTCAGACAGCTTTGAACCTTTTTCTCATTGTTGCAGGTGGAGACCACACCAGACTCCTCTGGGAATCTCTGGAAGCCATGATCTTCTCCCTAGGGAAATGCACGCTGGGCTCACAGGTGAGTGTTGTATACGTTTATTGCACTTGTTAGTGAATGAGTGGGATGTCCAAGGACAGTTTGTCATACCTGGAACTGTGGTGTTATGTGTGCTGGTGCCTTTGCTATTCCTAAACTGCATCTGTATTCTGACAGTATCATGAGGTTACGTGTGAAATTTCCCACTGTGGCCTGAGGTCAGTGCACAAAACGTTCACATTCTTGATCACACTAGATTTCAGATTTTGATTAGGGAAGTTTAACCTACACTTACTTTGGAGAGGTGTTGATAGTATTACATGACAACAATACAGTGTCTGCCACGTAAAATGATTTGTATCATTGTCAACTTTGCGTTATGACCTCACATGCAATCCCAGTGTGAGATTCTATTAGTATGGAAGACTAGTTAGTGAGCATGAGCCACCGCAGCAGGGGACGTTGAACATATTATCTGTGGTTACTAGTGAAACAGAAGCAGTTTTTGTGCACAATGACTGAAAAACATGTTTCCAGAGATCTTTTCATATTAATTATTGGTAATAGCATATTTTTCCTACAATTTAATTTTTACCTACTCTTGTGTATTTACCTTACATAATACGTCTCAAGGAAGGCATATAGAAATGTATGCCTTTTCCTCTTGGGAACTTCATGATAGGTTGAGTGTTTTATTTTCACTTCATTTAAATATTTGATTTTTAAACTAAGTTTATTGCCACACTTTAGATATACATCATGATCAGATTCATTGTAGGGAATTCATACTCGTATGTGACGCATTCTGTCTCCTTTTTTCCCAGTTTCCTCTGCTCCCTTCACCCCTCTTCCCCTCCCTATTTACAAAAGTTTATTTCCATTTTATTCTTTAATCATTTTTTCTCTTCTCTTCCTTTCCCTCTTCCTCTACCCTGTTTTTTTTTTTTTTTTTATTCCTTTTGAACAATTTCTTCCTATTTCATAGTAGCCGTTGTGCATTCTTTTGACCTTTGGACCGAGTTTAGATAATCCATTGTTTAGTCCCAGGAATTATTTTCTTGAATTCTCTACCTTTCTCTACTTTTCTGTAGCTGTTCACAGCTTTTAGTTTCTCAATGATTGTTTTGAGGAGGAATTGAGTTTTCTTTCCTTTTCTCTTTTCTTTCATCTTCCCTTCTTTATATGTTAGTTTTCTAGCACCATAATGAAATACATGAGATAACTAAGTTATAAAAGGAAAACGTTTATTTCTCATTATGGTTATCTATATTCAGGTCCTGGATTGGGCAGATCCATTGCTTTGGGCCTCTAGTGAGGCTGTCCTACAGCAATGGTGGGATCTTTATGACAGAGTAAACTAACCTTGTGACCAACAGCAAAAAGAGTTGGTGGAGGAACTCAGCTCCCAGTCCCTTTGAGTACCCCAGAAGCCTAAGGGCCTCCCCATGGCCCAGTTCCTTAAAATGCCACTGTCTCCCAATAGCGCCACCTTAGGGACAAAGCTTTTAGAGTAATTTCAACTCTCAGGAAGTCAGAGATCTTTGGACACATGTGCATAGTTTAACATACTCATAAAAAATTTGGTTTTAATTTCAATCAATAATTTGCATGCTTTTTGATGGCTGTTTTTCTTTCCAATGTTATTATAAAGAATAAGTTTTCCTTTTGCATAGAGAATCTCCAAATGCTATCAGGAATATCAATTATACTTGGTCAACACTCTGATCCATGAGTATGATCTGAAAAAAATAAAGAGAAATAACACAAAGCCAAGCAATAGGAGCAAAGATGAATATTCCTGCAGCTCATATTGAAAGGCAAACCCAACCAACAGGCTTGTGCATGATGCTCTGTGCCACTGGAGCTCTGGGAGACACTGTACCTCCAAAGTTGGGGTAGGATCCTGGAGTATGGGGCTTCAGCCATGTGTGCTACCATGTCAGTAGACACCACTGATGGGCCAGGGCTTTTGGCATGTTCTTAACACAAGTGGCACACTTTTTCATTATTTCTAATTTGCTTTGATAATTGGATTGAAGAACTAAATACAAAACTTTTGTTCATTAAACTCCAACATTTTTGGAAAGATTTACACATGTGTATGGAGAAACAGAAAGAGAGAGAGAGAGAGAGAGAGAGAGAGAGAGAGAGTGAGAGAGAGAGAGAGAGAGAGAGAGAGAGAGAGAGAGACTGAGAGAGCTTCATTGGCTTAGACCATGTAGTTTGTCAATGTTATAAACTGTGTGCTTTTTTTTTCCTTTCCCATTCTTTTCCTTCTATGATGAGAAATCTGAAGGTCAGAGAGATTTTGTGGGGCTCAAGAAAAGACTCAGCCAGTCAGCTAGAACAAAACTCCATGAGACTCCAGAGCCTTCCAGTATTACCTGGGCGGTCAGGTGCGAGGCAGTGTTACTTGGGAACCTGGACCAATTCTTGATACGTTGTGAGCTAGCCATGGGTACAGAGGTGTCAAACTCACCTTTTTCCCTTGACCTCCATACCCTTTAAGTTCTAACTCTCCTTCTCTGATCAGAACAAACATTTATGCGTACTCAGTACATGCCAGGGATACTGTGAAAGTTCCTTACCTCGTGGTCTTTCAACTTTATCACAAACCTCCAAGCAATGAGCTGTTTTAGCTTTACTCTACACCCAAGGGAGGTAGAGCAGAGTGGGTGAGTGTCCTTCTGCCATGAATGGCCAGTCAAGGTGGGAGCACGAGCTTCTGGCTTCCCAGTTCTAAAGTACTCCAGATACCTTCTCCAGTCTCCTCTTCTCATCCTCTTTTACAATGGTGTTTGTGGCTGTCTCACCCATGACTTTGCCTGCCCTCTCCAGCAGCACTCATGTTCAGTAAATGAGTCTGCCCTGCTGTTTCAGGGTCTTGGGTGCCTTGAGCCAATCTGACTTGCTATTCTACAATGATAGTACAAACAAACAGGAGGAAATCAGGGCTAAGAGAGAATTTGGGGAGGAATAATATACTCATCTGGCACTCAATTTTATTCAGCTTTCACCAGGTACAAACTATTGCTGCAGCCAACTGTTAGAGGGGAATACAAAATGATTCACAAGTCTCACACCTCAAGGAAAATAGAATTTACTAGCAACAATAGAGTACAGAGTTGTTTCATTTTTTTACTTTATTTTTTGGTGCTGGGGATTGAATACAGGCCCCTGAATGTGCTAAGCAAGAATCTTCCACTGAACTACACCCCAGCCCTTAGAATTCTGCTTTTTGATGATAAGAATCAAAAATATTCAAAGCAGATTGATCATTTGCAACTAGCAGAGGAGGTTGGGAAATGCTTGGATGGATTTAATGTTCAAACGGATTATTAAGCATTCACAGGCATCCATACCTAGTGGGGAGCTGAGCAGGCAGCTGGGCAGAGAAGGTCCCAACCAGCTCCTTTGTTTGGTTCTCAGAATACTGCTGAGTTGCTGCAGATACCTCAGACTTACACAGATCATCATCCTCTAGGCTTGGCTTTGGATACCACAATTTATTGTCCAAAGGAGTTGGGAGCATATGCTTCTCAACTGAGACACCCAGAAACAGAATCATATTTGGAGTGAAGTTTGAAACATAGTCTAAAACTTTGGTAAAAGTTTAAGGAATATTCCATGTCTTTCTTTTTACATTTTCAGAGCATTACCCAGAGTATAACATTTGTCATTATAATCTGCAGCATTACGACAGAGATCACGGTTAGTCACCGTTCTGAGGGTACTTGTGAAATAAAACTTAACCCTGGGAGATCACTGAAAAAAATACAGTGAAGAGGCCTTTTATGTGGCCTGATTTTTAAGAGCACTATTGAGAACTTTAAATACTTTTAAAAACCTTTTGTAATTCTGAAAAACTTTACTGCTTTTCATTAAAAAGCAAAAAGGATTAAAACATTCTGTTTATTCTGAACAAGTTATCTTAGAACATTTAAAATATGCTTTCATATCGTTTGGCCAGGCTTCAGAATGCATTTGAGAATGCTCAGAGACTGCCATATATGTTGTGACTTACTGGATTTTTACCATTTTATACCATTAAACAAAATTTGTGGGGGTTTATTGATTTTATCTATGTTTCTGCTTGGGTGCAGTTGACCAAACCTGTATGGAGCTATTTTATGCTCAATGAAACTATTGACTTAGTTATAGCAACTGAGTCTTGGTTAATTGTAGATGGATAACTATTTCATATAGGGCAGATCAATCAAGCTTTGTATCTCAATTCTGTCTCTCTCACTTCTGTTTTCTAACCATAAATTCTCTGTGATATTTTCAGAACCTGTCCTGATTTGGAGGGCTCCTTCATTCAAAGTTATCAATAGAAACTTTGTAAAGTCAATAAGACTTTGTAGTTTTGTCTTTTTGCAATTCAATTATCTTCACTACCTGCATTCTCCATTTAACTTTCTATGCTTTTAATTACCTAAGGTTTACCAAGGTCCAAAATATTATTTGGAAAATTTCAGAAATAAGGAATTTATAAATTTCAAGTGACTTTTATTACAGTATGTTGCTATAATTACCTATTTTATGAGTAGTTACTGTTAATCTCCACTATGGTTTAGATCTGAGATATTCCTCAAAGTCTCATATATTCAGAGGTGTTTGAATTATGGGGGAATGCTAAGCCTCAGCTGATTAATCCATTGAAGAGTTCATAGCTGCATGTTTTGATGGGAGGTAAATCCTGGTCAGAAGAGGTAGGTCTTTGGAGGCATGACCTGGAAAGGCGGATTCTTGTCCCCGGCTCTTCTGCCATTTTCTCTCTCTGTCTGCTTCCTGGTTGCCATGTATTGAACATTTTCCCTCTGCCATGTCTTTCCACTGTGCCATCTCTGCCTAGAAGCCACAGAATGTCTTATGAATTGAACCTTCTAAAAGCATGAACCAAAATAAAACTCTTCTCCCTTAACTCGGGTTATATATTTTGTTTTAGAGGTGGGAAAATGAGTAAAAAAATCTCTGTATCTGATTTATAAAATAAACTTTATCAGATGTATGTGCAGAAAAAAATGTAGTCTATCTTAGTT